ACCATGATCAAGTGGGATTTATTCCAGGGATGCAAGGCTAGTACAATGTTCACAAATCAATAAATGTGATACATCACATAAACAAAATGGAAGAGAAAATAACATGATCATATTAATAGATGCAGAAAAAGCACTGACAAAATCCAGCACCTTTTTTTTTTATTATTAAACACTCTCAGTAAAATGGGAATAGAGGGAACATACCTCAAGATAATAAAGGCCATATATTACAAACCTAAAGACAACATAATATTCAATGGGCAAAAACTAAAAGCGTTTCCCTTAAGAACAGGAGCAATACAAGGATGTCCACTTTCACCACTCCTATTAAACATAGTACTGGAAGTCCTAACCATAGAAATCAGACACGTAGAGGTAAAAAGCATTCAAATTGGAAAGGAGGAAGTAAAACTGTCATTATTCACAGATGACATGATTTTATAGCTAGAAAACCCTAAAGACTCCACCAGTAAATTGCTAGACTTAATTAATGAATTTGGCAAAGTAGCAGTATACAAAAATCAACATCCAGAAATGGATGGCATTTTTATACACCAATAATGAACTCTTAGAAAGAGAAACTAAAAAGAAAAAAAAACATTTACTATTGTAACAACAACAACAAAATAAGATACTTATGAATAAACCTAACAAGGAGGTAAAAGATCTGTACTTGGAAAACTATAGAACATTGAAATAAGAAATACAGGAAGATGCAAACAAATGGAAGCATATACCAGGTTCATGAATTGGAAGAATTAACATTATTAAAATGTCTATACTACCCAAAGCAATCTATAGATTCAATTAAATCCCTATTAAAATATCAATGGCATGCTTCACACAACTAGAACAAATACTCCAAAAATTTATATGGAACCATAAAAGAACCCAAATAGCCACAGCAATCTTGAGAAAGAATAACAAAGTTGGAAGACTTATAATACCAGATATCAAACTTACAAAGCCATTATAACCAAAATAGCCTATATTGGCACAAGAACAGGCATAGACTAATGGATCAGAACAGAGATCCCAGAAATTGACCCACACCATCATGGTTAATTAATATTTGACAAAGGAGGCAAGAACATACAATGGAGTAAAGACAGTCTCTTCAACAAATTGTGTTGGGAAAACTGGACAGACACATGCAAAAAGATTAAAATAGTCCACCTGCCCATCAGTAGTTGAATGGATAAAAAACTGTGGTACATTTTCACAATTGAATACTATGCAGCTGTTAAAAAAAGAAAAAAGGATCTCTTACCCTTTGAGACAGGACCTGGAGACTCTTACGTGAAAAAAGCCAATCTGAGATAGACAAATATCACATGATCTCACTTATTTGTGGAATCTAATGAACAAAATGAATTGACCAACAAAATAAGACCTGAAGCATGAAGGCATGGAACAGACTAACATACCTCAAGGTGGAGATTGGGGGGATGAGAAGAGATAAACTAAAGAACTTATATACTTTTATGCATAACCCATGGACACAGGCAATAGTTTGCTGAAAACCTGGGAGAGGGGGTAGGGGCTCAGAGGAGGGGGAGTTAAGGAGGAGAAAATAGGAGTCATCTGTAATACTATCAATAAAATACACACACACACATATAATACAAAAATAATGAGAGAGGCAGTTTGGAGTTAAAAGATGGAAAAATTTATCATGCAATGTTAACCAAAAAATGTAGAAATGGATAAAGTAAACTTCAGGGTGAAGAAAATTACCAAAGACAGAGAGGGTTGTTACATAATGATATTACATAAAGGATTCTCCCAAGAAATCTTAGTACCAAACAACAGAGCTTCAACTTATGTGATCAGCTTAACAAAATGAAGACAAACAACCCAATTTAAAAAAATGGGCAGAGGAACTCAACAGACACTTCTCCAAAGAGGACATGTAAATGGTCAAGAGACATGAAAAAATTTTCAGTCACTAATCATCAGAGAAATACATATTAAAACCACAATGAAATATCACCTCACACCTGTCAGAATGGCTATCATAAAAAAAAAAATCAACAAACAAGTGCTGGCAAGGATGTGGGGAAAAGGGAACCCTAGTAAACTGCTGGTGGTAATGCCGTATATGTATACACACACACACACACACACACGATCACACGGAAAGTGAAAATGGAAAAATCCACTATTTTTAGACTACAACACCACTCTCTTACCAACTGATAGAACATCTAGACCAGTGATTCCCAACGTGGGGCACACGCCCCACAGGAGATCAATTTGATTTTTAAGGGTAGTGGAAAACAGTATGGAGTTTACTCAAAAAATTTAAAATGGGACTTCTGTTTAACCCAGCAATTCCACTCCTGGGAATATGTCCTAAAAACCCTGAAACACCAATCGTAAAGAATATGCTGAGAATGAGTTATTAACAGTGAGTTTTTTACATTTATTCTGCTTCCAGGGACCTCCCAGACAGTCTATAAATATATATTGTGGCATATTTATGCATTTCAGTTGTCCATGTTTTGAAATTTTATTTGCTATTTTTTCATATAATTTCATATTATTTTTTAAATAATTTGGTAGTGATTTCTTCCTCAGTACTTTAATTGTCCTTTTGTTCTGTTATTTTTCTCTTTCATATATTCCATGTTCTTTGGAAACTTGTTTAGACCAAGTTAATGGCCTTTTAGGCTTCCTCCACATGAATAGGAGTTCACTTTTTGCATAGTAAGAATTATATGTCACATGGGGGCATCAGGATTTTAGAGATGCTTAGGTGTAGCATGGCCAAAAAAGGTTGGGAACCACTGATCTAGACAGTAAATCAGCAAAGGCATAGAAGAGCTCAGTGAAACCATTAATCATCAGAATCCAATTGACATTTATAGAGTACAATTAATAAAGCAAAATACACATGCTTTTCAAATGTCCGTGGAACATATACCAAGATAGACCTTATCCTGGGCCACAAAACAAGCCTCAAATAATTAAAAGAATAAAAATAATATAGAGTGTGGTCTCCAACTACAATAGAATCAAACTAGAAATCAGTAACAGAAAGTAACAGGAAAATCTCTAAACATTTGTAAATTAAGCACATCTAAATAACCCATGGATTGCCGAAACCGGTTTGGCTCAGTGGATAGAGTGTCGGCTTGCAGACTGAGAGGTCCCAGGTTCGATTCCGGTCAAGGGCATGTACCTGGGTTGTGGGCACATCCCCGGTGGGAGATGTGCAGGAGGCAGCTGATCGATGTTTCTCTCTCATCGATGTTTCTAACTTTCTATCTCTCTCCCTTCCTCTCTGTAAAAAATCAATAAAATATATTTTAAAAAAATAACCCATGGATAAAAGAGGAATTCTCAAGGGAAATTAAAAAAAATACAATGAATTGAATGAAAATCAAAATATATCATATCAAAATTGGTGCGATATAGTTAAAGTAGTGCTAGCAGGGAAACTTCATAGCAGTAAATGTACACATTAGAAAAGAAGATGGATGTACAGCATGGTGACTATATTTAACAATTCTGTATTATATATTTGAAAATTGCTAAGAGAGTAGATCTTAAATTCTCATCACAAGAAAAAAATTTATAACTATGTGTGATGATGATGTTAGACTTACTGTCGTGATCATTTCACAATATATACAAATAATGAGTCATTATGCTTTTTTAAAAAATATATTTTATTGACTTTTTACAGAGAGGAAGGGAGAGAGATAGAGAGTTAGAAACATCAATGAGAGAGAAACAGCGATCAGCTGCCTCCTGCACACCCCCTGCTGGGGATGTACCTGCAACCAAGGTACATGCCCTTGACCGGAATCGAACCTGGGACCCTTCAGTCCGCAGGCTGATGCTCCATCCACTGAGCCAAACCAGCTAGGGCGAATCATTATGTTTTATACCTGAAACTAATATAATGTTATGTGTCAATTATATCTCAATGAAAATTTTTAAAAAGTGTCCAATCAATAATCTAAGCTCCCATCTGAAGAACCTAGTAAAAGAGCAGAATAAATCCAAAGCGAGCAGAAGAATGAAAATAATAAAGAGGAGAAATAAATGAAATGGAAAACATAAACAATAGGAAAAAATCAGTGAGACAAAGAGTTGATTCTTGGGGGAAAATCAATAAAACTAACTAACCCCTAGTAAGAGAAAAAGAGAGAAGATACAAATTACCAGTAACAGGAATGAAACAGGATATCACAACACACCAAGCAGACATCAAAAGAATATTATGCCTACAATTTAATAATTTAGAAGAAATTGACAAACTCCTCAAAAAACACAAACTACCACAACTCACTAATAAGATGTAGATAATTTGAGTAGGCCTATAACTATGAAAGGATCTGTTCTCTGCCCACAAGACCCAGGAAAGGATGCTGGGTTTTCCGTATTACCTATAATAATCAAAAGTTTGTTTTGTTGTATATTGATGTGTAACAGTAAAACTTCAAAAGTCACAGGTCGGTTAAATTAATACTCCTAGAAACAAATCTCCAGGTCCAGATGCTTTCACTGGAGAATTTTACCAAATGCTTAAAAAATTTCTTTCAGAAGATAAAAGAGGACAAACACAAACTTATTTTTTGAAGCCATTATTATAGCCTAACCAAAACCAGACAAAGATAATATAAAAAATAAAACTTTCAGAACATTTTCCTCTTTAAATATGAGTGCAAGAATCCTTAAAATATAAGCAAATATAATGCAGCACTTTTTAAGAGGATTATATACCATGATCAAGTGAAATTTATACCAGGATGCAAAGTAAGTATAATATTTGGAAATCAGTCAATGTAGTTCACATCATCATATCAACCAATGAAGAAAAAGCATTTTTAAAAAATATGTTTTTATTGATTTGTTTCTTTTAGAGAGAGAGAGGAAAGGAAAGGGAGAGATAGAAACATCGACCCATAGTCTGCCTCCAGTACGCCCCCTGCTGGGGATTGAGTCCAACATCGGGCATGTACTCTGACCTGGAATCCAACCAGCCTTACCTGGAATGAAACTGGAGACCTCCTGGTACATGGGTCGATACTCAACCACTCAGCCACACCAGCTGGGCAAGAAAAACCATTTTAGAAAATTCAACACCCAGTCAAGGTAAAAAAAAAATCTTAGAAAAATATGAATAGAGGGGAACATAAACTTTATAAAGAGCATGTATAAGAAATTACAGCTAACACCATACTTAATGGTGAGAAACTAGATGTTTTTCCCTAAGATTGGGAAAAAGCATTGATGTTTGCTCTCATCACTCTTGTCCAACATAGTACTGGGAGGTGGAGGGGGAAAGACATCTAAAATGGAAAGAAAGAAAGAAAACTGTCCCTATTTTCAGGTGATTATGTTGAAAGTCATAAGAAATCTCCAAAAATACTCTTAGAATAAGTGAGTTCATCAAAGTCACAGAATACAAGATAAACATACAAAATAAATTATATTTTTACATACTAGCAACAAACAAGTGAACACTGAAATGAAAAATACAGTAACATTTACAATCACTTTTTAAAAAAGAGGAAAAAAGACAGGTGTAAATCTAACAACAGGAAAAGAATTCCAATTGAACAACACTTCTGTCTTTTTTTTTAACAGATGAAAAGTCATTTTATTATTATTTTACTATATAACATAGAAGTGAATATACCTGATTACATTTTCTCAAATGAGAAACAGGATAGCATTTTACTGGAAACCTCAATATCATCTGTCTTTTGATGTGTATGATTCTGTCCACGAGGATACCAACGGTGCTGAGTAGTAAAGAACATTTTGCTAAGTTGTTCTATCATGGGTCCTTACTCAAAGTGTTCATCTTTTTCTTCTAATCTGGTTTTCAGTATTTGATTCTGTGTTTCTTCATAATTATGCACAGGATCTGGCCGAGGGATAGGTTTCATGTGTTCATATGGAATATCTAAAGAAGGATGGTAGCAAACTATCGACCTGCCATCAGATGTCAAAGCAAGTTCTACTTTGCAATTATAGTCATCTGGAAGAGAAGAGTGTGTGGATTTATGACAAACACAATATAAAGCTCCATTTTGGATTAGAAATAAATGTTTCAAGATAATTCTGTTTGATAGCACCCATTTCACTGCTGATATGGCCATGGTGAAGCAAGATGCTTATCAGGTGGTATAGAAAAAGATATGAAGAGAAAATGCTTTTAAAATTTGCTTCTAGGCATACCTATTTTCATCCCTTGACAGCTGCTCACCTCAAGCCCGCCATCTTGCCTCCAGCCAGGTCCTAGGAGACCAACACTTCTGTCTTTTGTAAAAACATGAAAACAGACAATAGTGTGGTGAAGGCCTGGAGGGCGCAAGGATTGGTGCAGGGTGGAAGGGGTCAATGGGGAAAAAAGGGAACATGTGTAATACTTTCAACAATAATGATAAATTTTAAAAATAAAATGATTGTGGGGAAAAAAAACCATTTTCCAAATCCTTGGGTAAAAAAGGCCCATATAATACATTGCTATGTTTGGATATTGTTTTTTTTTTCTGACTAAAAATGACATTAACACACAGGATATACAGGTGGCAAATAAGCACAGAAAAAAAGTTCAATATCATTAGAACTTAAGGAAATACAAGTAAAAATCACAATATGTGATCATTATTTGCAAGAATGGCTAAAATGAAAAACTAGTTCTAATACCAAAAGATAGTGAAGATACAGAGAAATTGGATCACACATACTTTCCGAGGGGTATGTAAAATGGTACAACCACTCTGGAAAACAGCTTGGCAGTTTCTTGATAAGATTGAATATGCAATTAGCATATGACTCAGCAATTGCACTCCTGAGCACTTATCCCAGAGAAATAAAGACTTATGTTCACACACACAAAAAAAACCTGTACACAAATATTTGCAGCAGTTTTTTATTTTTTTAAAATATATATTTTATTGATTTTTTACAGAGAGGAACGGAGAGGGATAGTTAGAAACATCGATGAGAGAGAAACATTGATCAGCTGCCTCCTGCACACCCCCTACTGGGGATGTGCCCTTGACCAGAATCGAACCTGGGACCCTTGAGTCCCCAGGCTGATGCTCTATCCAGTGAGCCAAACCAGCTAGGGCAGCAGTTTTATTTTTAATAGCCAAAAAGTGGAAACAATATCCAGCCATGGGAAAATTGTTAACACAAACTATGTGCATACTATGGAATAATACTATGCAGCAATAAAACAAACAATTGATAAACACAACAATCAAGATGAATCTCTAAATTATGCTGAGTGAAAAAAAGCTATCCTCCAAAGATTACATACTGTATGATTCCATTTATACAGCATTTTTAAAATGACAAAATTATAGTAATGGAAAACATATTAACGTTTGCCAGGGTTAAATGGGGGTGGGAACAAAGAGAGGTGGGTGTTGCTATGAAAGGGCAAAATGGGGAATCCTTGTGGTGACAGAACTATTCTATATCTTTTCTATCAATATCAATAATCTGGGTGAGATATTGCACTATAGTTATGCAAGATGTTACCACTAGTAAAAAAATGGGAAAAGGCTTTCTTTATTATTTCTTACAAGTGCATAAATATCTACAATTATGTCAAAATAAAAGGCTTAATTTAAAATAAAATATTTATCTGACTGGCTTATTTCACTTAGCATAATGCTCTCCAGGTCTACCTATGCTGTCACAAAGGGTAAGGTAGCCTTCTTTTTTAAGGCTGCATAGTATTCCATTGTGCAAACATAACACCACTTTTTTATCCACTCATTTATTGATGGACAATTAGGCTACTTCCAAATCTTGGCTATTGTAAATAATGCAACAATGAACATATGGGTACATATATTCTTTGAATTAGTGTTTCTGATTTCTTTGGATATATTCCCAGAAGTGGAATTGCTGGGTCATAAGACAGTTCCATAAGTCAGTCCTTACAGTATACAGGTGATATATTACAGAATTGTACACCTGAAATCTATATAATTTTATTAGCATGTCATCCCAATAAATTCAATAAAAAAATAAAATTAAAATATTTTAATACCTATAAAACTCTTACAAAAGTAAAAAGCAAACCAATTGGGAAAAATACTTCTTATATCAATGACAAAAGCATAAGCACTGTATTAGAAAGCTGAGCAAAAGACAGAATTTTCTCTATCTTTCTCACATACACACAAAACATTCAAATACAATTAATAAATAATTTGAAATGTCAGCTTCAGTAGTAATTAAAATATGTAAATGAAGATGATGCTGATAGTATTTTCTGAACTACCAAAGCTTAAACAACAAACACAAAAAAAATATTCAATGTGCCCTAGCCAGTTTGGCTCAGTGGATAGAGTGTTGGCCAGGTTCGATTCTGGTCAAGGGCACATGCCTAAGTTGCAGGCTCCATCCCTACTGGAGGGCGTGCAGGAGGCAGCTGATCAATGATTCTCTCTCATCACTGATGTTTCTATCTCTCTCTCCCTTTCCCTTCCTCTCTGAAATCAATAAAAATATTCTATATAATAAAGAGGCAATATGGATTATGCTAAGTGAAATAAGCCAGTCAAAGAAGGACAAGTACTAAATGTTGTATGTGGAATCTAATGAACAAAATAAACCAGCAAAATAGAAACAGACTCATAGTTACAGAATACACTGACAGCTGTAAGAGAGGGGCTAGGTGAAAAAGGTGAAGGGATTAAACAAAAAAAGAAACCTCAACCAAATGACTGAACAAGCAGGCTGCATGGGGCCATTATGCCGGCACGGGGGGTAGTGAGGGATGACCAAATGACTGAACAAGCAGGCTGCGTGGGGCGACCAGGCCAGCAGGGCAGGCAGTTAGAGGTGACCAGGCCATCGGGGTGGGGCAGTTAGGGGTGATCAGGCTGGCACGCAGAGGCAGTGAGGGGCGATGAGGCTGGCAGGGGGGGCATTTAGGGGCAACCAGGCAGGCAGGCAGGTGAGCAATTAGGAGCCAGCTGTCCAGGATTGTGAGAGAGATGTCCGACTGCCAGTTTAGGCCTGATCTCTGAGGGGTCCCAGATTGGAGAGGGTGCAGGCTGGGCTGAGGGCACCCCCCCTCCATGCACAAATTTCATGCACTGGGCCTCTATATAACATTGCAGGGGAATGTACACCTTTATAAAAACAACAAGATAGGTAACATTTATTAAGTGCCTGTCACATGTCAGACAAGGTTCTAAGCATTCTACCTATATTAATTTATTAAATCCTTTCAACCACCCTGTGCTCAGTACTTACAAAGGGATAAACCAAATATTGAAAAGTTAAGGCATTGCCCAAGGTCATAGAACTAATAAATAGAGCCAAGAGTCAAACATTTATTTCCTACTTGTTGTTTTTTTTTAAATATATTTTATTGATTTTTTACAGAGAGGAACGGAGAGGGATAGAGAGTTAGCAACATCGATGAGAGAGAAACATCGATCAGCTGCCTCCTGCACACCCCCCTCTGGGGATGTGCCCACAACCAAGATACATGCCCTTGACCGGAATCGAACCTGGAACCCTTCAGTCTCCAGATCAACACTCTATCCACTGAGCCAAACTGGTCAGGACCCTAGCTGTTTTTTTAATCACAGATATGTATTACAGTCAAACCTCGTGTCTTGAACATCTCCCATCTCAAACAATTCGGTTCTCCAACAAGTTGTTCATGGAAAAAAATGTCTTGGTTGTGGAACAAAACTTGGGTTCTTGACCAGATAAGGAGTGGCTCTCAGGCCACAAACAATGGAGAGAATTCGAGAGCATGTTAACATCTCAGTAAATTGTGCTGTGAATATTTTTGTAGGATTTTTTGTTGTTTTTGTTGCTGACCAATTGGACAATTAACACAATTTTAAAACATAAAATGGCCATCAAAAGTGCTGATATTGCTAAGGGTGTGAAAGTGCTCACAAAACAATGATCACAGGCAATTGAGGTAGAAAAGCTGTTGCTGATGTGGATGAACAAAAACAGTTAGCCAGTGATAACATTTTGGAGGCAATGATATGTGAAAAATCAAGATGCTGCATGCTGACCTGAAAGACACCTAAGGAACGAGTGCTGAAAGTGATTTAAGGCTAGCAGGGGGTGGCTTGATAAATTTAAGAAGTGTTTGTTTATATATTAAACAGTACATTAGACATATACTGTGTATAAGAAAGGTTAAAATGGAATCATTTGGGGGTCTGGAATGGATTAATTCAATTTACATTATTTCTAATGGGAAAAAATGATTCGGGATTTTTGAACAAATCATATCTCGAACTGCCGTCAGGAACAAACTAAGTTCGAGAACCGGGTTCCACAGTATTTCTATCATCAAAAATTCATTTGCACACAATTAAAATGGTGCACCCCTAAGATAGAGACCAAATATTCTAGCATCATAATTATTTAAATGCTCCATCTTATCTTGCTATGATCTACAATGCCATATTAAGCTATCAAAATTAGTATTATTAGCACTACTACAAATTATAAATGTTACTTCTATATTATCCATAATCTAAAAAATATATTTCCTTTGTGTTTATTTCTGAAAGTTCTGAAATCACTATGATGAATATCTAATTTAATAAAATACACTATAAAGTAAAATGTATTACTATCTCAATATTATTTCCCAAGTTCTAAAATATCTAAGACATCTATAATAAAACCAAGTTTGTATGTCTTATAAACCAGAACTCTTTATTAACTGCATTTTGCTTTGGCAAGATCTTAAAATATCTTCTGATTAATGTTCAACATAGGATAAATTAATTATACTGAATACTAATTCTTTGTTTTTCTTTGCCCCCCCCCCGCCCTAATCCT